TTAGTATTCCCAAAAAAGTTAAACAGTAAAATACCCAAAAACTCTCGGCTTCGTTTGGTTGGATTTTGGGAATACTACTTTTAGTATTCCCAAAAAAGTTAAACAGTAAAATACCCAAAAACTCACAATATTATTCAACTTTATTCAATATTTTTTAAACCCCCTAAATTTGTTAATTCAATTAAATACCCCTAAATATTTTTAATGTTTTTGTTACGGCGACTCCGTCCACCCTTCGTCGGTGGTGGCCTGCTGTCCGTATTTGAGGGTGGATTTGTGGTTTTTTTGTTAACTTTTAATATTTTATTATAAGGGGTGTTTTGTAAAAAAACAAACATAGGGGGTATTTTACAATTTGTAAATCCTACATCGTAATACCCGCCCAATTCAACTTTTTTTTTAACTTTTTTCAAAAAACTTTTCCCAAAAACACAAAATTGTGAACCAAACGGAGCCTATATTTCTTGTATAATGATCAGAAAATAATACATCAATATATAGGAAAATAAAGAACTAATCTAGGAAACAAATAATCTAATCTAGAAAATGAATAATCTAACTTTCTATTTTACAGATTTTGTTCTTAATATATATTAATTACAATCCTAATATTCTAATATAGGATTATACACTTCAACCATAATAAAGTAAAGCTGTAGTAAACTAAAACTTCCTAAACTAAACTCCAACTTAAAATAGAAAACTACTTAAATTCCTAAAATAAAATTCCAAATAAATAAGAAAAACAAAATCAAATCATAATCTAACAATATTTTCCTACATCACAACACGACCTAAATAAGTATTTTATTTTTATTCATATTTAATAAAATTCTACTAATATAAGGAATTTGCAATAAGATAAGGTTTTGTTTCCCAATTTTGTTGTTGAATAGATTAATAGAACACAAAATCTTTTATTTAATTTACTTGTTTGTGTATATATTATTTACTAAAATATGTTATTATTCCATATAATAATTTGTAGTTTTATATAATGAAATTAAATTAAGAACAATATAATGAAATATATTATTGGTTTAAATATTAACTAAAATATTTTTATATCATTATTATTTTTAGATATATAAATTATTTAAAACATGTCATATTATATTTATTAATAACATTATATAAAATAATAATTTGAATATTAATAATAGATTATAAATAAATTTTATTAAGTATAATTTTTCATAAAATAAGAAATGGGATTGGATTATTGAAAAAAATAGTCCAATTCCACTCTGTAAACCCTGCCCAACTTAATCCGGGGCAGTCTTACTCAGTCGACAGGAAGCGCCGAAGCGGCTCAGTCGGTTGGAACGGACTCCGATCTCACTCCCTCAGCCTCAGGCACTCAGCTATATTTATTTCAAACAGGTACACTTCTAAAGTTAGGGGTTTTTTCTATTTTTACGCACAAAATCCTAAAACCCTACACGAAATCCATGACACGATTTTCTCTTTCTCGCTTTTTACTGCTTCCAATCCATGCTCAGAACTCCAAAATCTTAACTTTGCACTTCACTACTACTGCTAGATCAGCTGATAAGTTCTACCTTCACTTGCAAAACAACCCTAACAACATTGAGAAAACCCTACCCACTGTCAAGGCGAAATTGGACCCCACTTGTGTGAATGACGTGTTACAAAGGTGTCTTCCCCGTCAATCTCACTTAGGTATTCGTTTCTTCATTAGGGCTTCCCGTCAATCTCAATTAGGGTTTCGTTTCTTCATATGGGCTGGTATTCAATCCAGTTATCGTCACAGTTCGTTCATGTATGAAAAAGCTTGTAAATTGCTAAAAATTAAGCAGAACTCTAGAATTATTATTGATGTTATTGAAGCTTATAAGAAAGAAGAGTGTGTAGTCAGCGTGAAGACAATGAAAGTGCTTTTAAATTTATGTAAAAAAGCTGGGCTTGCTAACGAGGCTTTGTGGGTATTGAGGAAAGTGCCTGAATTCAATTTAAGAGCTGATACTGTGATGTATAATATAGTTATCAGGTTGTTTTGTGAAAAGAGTGATATGGTTATGGCTGATAACTTGATGAAAGAGATGGGTTTGATTGATCTTTACCCCGATATGATCACAAATGTGTCAATGATTAAAGGGTTTTGCAATGTAGGTAGGTTAGAGGATGCTTGTGCGTTGCTTAAGGCCATGAGAGGACATGGTTGTCCTCCCAATACAGTTGCATATTCAACTCTTCTTGATGGAATTTGTAAGTTAGGGAGAATGCAGAAGGCATTGGAATTGTTAGGGGAAATGGAGAAAGAAGGTGGGAATTGTAGTCCTAATGTTATCACTTATACATCTGTCATTCAGAGATTTTGCGAAAAGGGTATGGTAATGGAGGGATTGAGGGTTTTGGATAGAATGGAAGCTTATGGTTGTGCTCCTAGTCGTGTCACAATAAATCCTTTGATTATGGGTCTTTGCCTTGACGGCAATATAGAGGAAGCATATAAGTTCATTGATAAAGTTGTTGCAGGGGGTAGTGTTTCGTATGGAGATTGCTACAGTTCTCTAGTGTTTGCACTGGTTAGGATTAAAAGACTTAATGAAGCTGATAAGCTCTTTAGGAAGATGTTAGCTAGTGGTATGAAACCTGATGGTTTGGTATGTAGTGTTATGATTAAAGAACTTTGTTTAAAGGGACAAGTAGTGGATGGTTTCTACTTATATGAGGAAATTGAGAAGCTTGGATGCTTATCTACAATTGACTCTGACATTCATTCTATCCTCTTAGATGGGCTTTGTCAAGAAAGCCATTCGTTGGAAGCTTCAAAGCTTGCAAGATTTATGCTGTAAAAAAGAATTCGGCTGCAAGCTCCATATGTTGATAAAATACTCAAACACTTGAAGAAATCTGGAGACAAGGATCTAATTACACATCTCACTAGGATTGGAGGGGGGTGTTATGCAAACAAAAAAAATTGTTAGTGTTGGGGGGCTCCTCTTTGCTGTCTGAGAACAGGGTTGTGATAGTAAAGTCTGAAACTTTTGAATTAAGAACTTACTCAGTTTTAGTTTGTAGAGTTTCATGGACTACTAAGTCACTTCCAGATTAGCATTAAAAATGTGTAACTTGGAGCAGAAGTGAAATAGTGTTGCCATTCCAATCTGAATATAAATTGGCCTAAAACTCATGATCCAGGTCTAAATGAGATTCCTACCTGGGCATGTCTTTCAGTTTGGAGCTTGCTTTGAGTTAACTCTTTCTTTTTCCCCTCAACTTACCTATTCTTAAGACTGCTCAGGCAAATCAGTTAATGATTTTTTGTTTTGAAATTATTCTTTATTGCTACCTTTCAAATTATATTTTTGATCTTTTACTACTTGTTTATTCTGGGGAGTAGGACAAAAAAAGTGTAGAGCTCTGTTTGTCAATTAAAATTTCTGTAAATCTGACTCAGGTGACATATCCTTAAATAACTTGTGGAGATAGATAATATTGTTTGATATTCTCGGATTATACTCTTTGGAAGCATATTAGACCTGATCAAAGCTGTGAGTTTTAAGTGATTGAGGGAATGGTTACTCGTATGGAGCTCGCATGATATTATTAGAAATGCTAAAAATATCATATTTGCATAGCTGAAAAATGGATGAATAGATTGATAATTGATAAACCAACAAGGATTGCATGATTGAAAAAGATTTTCTTCCGGATAGTGGCTTGCTCTAGCTAAAATAAATTGCTTTGTCCTAAGATTTAATGTTAGGCTGACAGTTTGTTGAACTAATGCTCAATGTGTTGAATGATGAACCAGTAAAATGCAGCTTCCTCTGCATTTTCCTTTTTATTTATTTTAAGAGTGTATTGTCTGTATAGGACAAATGACTATGTTTATGTCTCTTAGGAAGTGCGTGTTATAAAAAGTAGAGGACAAGATTATATTGGAGGTAATCTAACTTTGCCTTAGGCTTCACATGTGTTTCTTGAGAGTACTCATTACGAACTTACATTTCCAGATAGATTTATCTATTTGGCATAGTCATTTCTTCAACACCTTTCCTTATTTGTGAATTCTTTAGGAACCCTTTCGCAAAGAATATGTGAGAAAGCTCAACCACCCTCCTCTCATTGTTTTTTTTTTTATACATATGATTATTTGTTAAATCTTTACACAGATCTTGGGGATGCTAAATTTCAAAGTTACTGTTCATATTTAGTACATTATACTGTATTTTTTTCCTGAAGCTTCTTTTCTCTTATTGGCACTTGCTTCTGTAGGCAGACTTCTGAATATTGTCCCAATAGCTGGCCGAGATTCTTTGAGGATGTGTCACATGAATGCAATTGTTGGTAAAATCTTCCATTTGAGTTTCATCTTGTATTCAAGCTCGTATAGTGTCAAATTAGATGATCGATGAACACACTTGATATGAACAAATGTAGCAACGACATCACTATCTTGGTTCACAATTTTGGATGATTGATGAGACTGATGAACATACTTGACCATAAACAAATGTTAGTAACAGCCACGTCGAACTTGGTTCAAATTTTTTACTTGAGTTGCTCAAGCAATTTATTCATCAGCCAGTATGTTTCAAGTTGAATTTTGTGTTGTAAACACAGTTGTTCTGGGGGTTTAGTTTTAGATCTTCATAACATATTTAGTCAACTACAGCTGGATAAATTTTTATCTGTATAAAATTTGACTTAAAAACTATTTTTAGGGTTCTTCTAGCATATTTACCCTTACTTTTTTTTCATCAGAGTCTATCAAATTCCTGACTGAGAAGAAATGGACGGTTGTGATGCTGACTATCATTATTTTAAGATTCCATATTCATTGATTTATTTCCTGACTGATCTTCTCTTCCCCAGTCAACTTATCATTCGGCATAGACTCTCCATGCAGGACTATTTCTTCATTTGTTATTTTGAGCCTCATCCCTAGCTTACCTAGTTTTTTTGCAAGTTCTTCACTTACCTAGTTTTAAAACCCGACCTGTTGCGAGACCTGACAAGGTGACTGCGTAATGGGGCGACTGGTCCAATCGGTTGGATCGGTGATATCAACAATAAAAGTATTTTTTTTAAATAATTAGTCTCTTAAATTTTAGTATCTTATAAATACCCCTAAAAAATCACAAAGTAGTCCTTAAAATTTTAATTTATTATAAAAATACCCAAAAAACTTTCTAATCTCTAAAATTAGAGCTAGTCTCTATAATTTATTTTAGTATGTTTATTCGAGTAGAGCTTATAGAAAAAGAGTTTATGGTTTTCATATAAAAAGCTGTTGGTGTTTATTTAGAAAATTAAAAAAAAAAAAAAAAAGGTTTTCTAACGTTAATTACCAAAAAGGGTTCTGAGATACAAGAAAAAATCACGTCAGACATATAAAATAGAATAAGGATATTTTTTAAATTTCAATACTTCAAATAAAACTGAAAAAGGGTTCACGGACGTAAAATAATTTATTTTAAATTTTATATGCGCGTTTGAAATACAGGAAAACAATCTAAAAAAATTTCATAAATACTTGGTACACTTTTTAAAACAATATTGACTTTGACTCAAGAATTTTATATGTTGACTTTCAAGGTTTTAGTTTTAGCAGTATGGTAATGTTGAATACGCTGAAATATCCATTCTTAGCTAATTCATTTCTCTTAAACTACCTGATTCTCGCTCTCTTCAAAGAAAATATGGCTCTGGATAGTGATTTAAGAAGACTTCAGGGAACCATGAGCGCCATCAAAGCCGTGCTGTTGGATGCCGAGACATAGCAGACTCAAAACCATCAGCTGCGTGACTGGCTTGCGAAGCTTAAGGATGTTTTTTATGGTGCTGAGGACGTTTTAGATGAATTCGACTTTCAAGCTTCCAGGAGATCACAACAGGGGAGCTCAACATTAAAGGTATGTCAAAGCTTTTTAAGCTGTAATCCTGTTAAAATTGGTCACAAGATCAAGGAGATTAGAGAAAGGTTAGATGCGATCGCAGCTGATAGGCAATATATTCCTTTTCCTCTTATTGAGAGTCATGTTGACGTGAGGCATGTAATTCCCAAGGAGAGGGAGACTGATTCCTTCTTCCAAGCTTCTGATGTCATTGGAAGAGAGAAGGATAAAGAAAACATCATAACCTTTTTGACACAACCAGGCGATGATAATGTCTCCGTCATTCCTATAGTTGGGATTCGGGGTTTGGGTAAAACCACTCTTTCTAAAATGGTTTACAATGATGAGAGGGTCTACAGGCATTTTGACTTAAAGATGTGGGTATGTGTTTCCGACGACTTTGATGTTGTTAGGTTGATTAAAGAAATTATTTATTCTGCAACACATGAGGATTGTGCTAAGTTAAAAGCCGATGAAATACCCAGGCGTTTGCAAGCAATTTTGGCTGGTGAAAATTTTTTGCTTGTCTTGGATGATGTTTGGAATGAGAAGCCAATGAAATGGACGGAATTGAAAGACTTACTGGTGAATGGTGTCAATGGAAATAAAATTATTGTGAGTACACGCAATAAAACTGTTGCCGAGATAATGGGCACCGTTTCCCCACATTTCATACAATTACAAGGTCTTTCACCTGAGGATTCTTTATTGTTGTTTAAAAAGTGCGCATTTAAAGATGGAAAAGGAGAAGATTTTCCAAACCTCAATAAAATCGCCGAGGACATTGTGGGAAAATGTAAAGGAATTCCGTTAGCTTTGAGAACTTTAGGGAGCTTACTTTTTGCAAACACATATGAAGATGAGTGGTTAAGAATAAAAAGAAGTGACATCTGGCAGCTGAAATAGGAAAAAGAAGGCATCTTACCAGTACTGAAACTGAGCTACGATAATTTGCCGTCTCACTTGAAGCAATGTTTTGCTTATCTTTCCTTATTTCCAAAGGATTATATCTATGACAGTGATTACGTGACCGGATATTGGATGGCACATGGACTCCTTGCAACCTCTAATGATGATATTGAATAGTTAGAAGATGTTGCTGTGCGTTGTATGAAGGAGTTATGGTCAAGGTGTTTCTTAGAGGATTTTACGGAACATTATCATTTATCTTATAGGTTTAAAATGCATGATCTTATGCATGATCTTGCAATGTCAGTGGCAAAAATTGACTGTGCTGTTATAAAATCCAGAAACCAAATAGTTGATGAGAGCGTTCGACACTTTTCAATTATTGTCTCTGATTTCAACCATCAGAAAGCTCCAGAAGTTCTAGATAATAGATCAAAGATGGTTCGGTCCGTTATTCTTGAAGGATTTGATGTATCATTTATCAATACATGCATACCCAAATTCAAGCACATCCGACTGCTATACATAAACAGAACAGCTATTGAAGTCTTGCCAAAGTCTGTTGGTACATTGATACATTTGAGATACCTTGACTTATCACATAATTATTTTTTGAAGAAACTTCCTGAATCTATTTGTCAGCTTCAGAAGTTGGAGACATTCAGACTTCTTGCTTGTCTTCGGCTTAAGAAGTTGCCTAGGAATATACGAAGGATGAGCTCCCTTAGGTATGTGGAAATAAGAACAGAAGAGCGGTATCTACAAGAAAATGGAATCGGATGTTTGAGTTCTCTTAAATTTTTGCAATTGGACTGCGTGAATCTAGTAAGATTGTTTGAAGGGATGTAAGGTCTCACAAGCCTCCGAAGATTGCATATTAGGGGTTGTCCCCTAACCTCGTTGCCATACAGTATCAAGTACCTTAAGAGATTAGAGAAGGTACTGATTGATGGCTGTATAAAGCTTAACTTGAAGATGGAATTTCAAGGAGAAGATAAAGACAACCTTTGCTTGGGAGTTCGGCAATTTATAATTCGCAATTTGCCATCGTTAGTGGATTTGCCTCAGCTTATTCTTCAAGGATCGGCAAACACCTTACAGTGCATAATGATTAAAAATTGTTTCAATTTAGTAGAACTACCGGAGTGGCTGCAAAATCTCACATCACTTCAAACACTGGAGATTTTAGATTGCCCGAGATTATCATGTCTTCCAGAAGGGATGCAACGCCTTACTGTCCTCAGACAATTGAAGATTCAAGGCTGTCCTGCTCTGAGTGAAAGCTGCAGACGCAATCAGTCGAAGATTGCTCATGTCCAAGAGGTTCATCTTGATGAATAAATGCCATCACATAATAATGCTTTTTTTTCTGTTGAAGAAAATGTGATAGCAGATTCTCTTGCTAATGCATTGGTGGCGTGCTCTTTTGCTTCTTCCTTTATTTTTCAAGACCTACATCATGATTCCCAGATTCACAGTACTCCAATTTCTTTCTTATCTATTTTCATTTGTTGGTTGTATTTTATTGTTTCTAATGCATGCATGCTTGAATATTTTATTTTTCCTTTGTACCATGACATTTATCGTGTCAAAGTTTCATTACATCTTCTTATTCCGAGTGTTTTTTCTTTTATTTTGTTTATTTCTTGTTAATAAATCTCCTTCTTATGATCCAGACTCACCAAAAAAAATTAATTATAATATAGATTTATTAGTCTATTTTTATTTTACTTGTGAATACAGTTAACCAGGCTGTGAAAATTACAAAGGCGCTTGTCCAGTCAATTCAATTACCAATTTTCTAATGTTATTAGTTCAAACTTGTATAAGTTGTCACAACAACCTTTAGTATTGCAGTTATGTTGTTCAGTATTCAAAGTGACGCTAAAGTCTTTTAAGTTGTGTAAACTATAATCCGAGATGCAAAATAAAATGCACTGCATTGTGTATGTAAAGGGAAGTAGGAACCCTGTTTATACTGTAAGGCTTGAATGTAAAACCAGAGTTCAATAGAAATCACGTATTCATTGTAATCCAATGATTTAGAGAGGTCTTGAATTGAGAATAATTTGTATTACCTTTTTTACTTTGATAAAGCTGTTAACCAATAACTAATTCTACTCAATATCACAACTTTTTATCTTAACTGAAATGTGAATTGAATATTGCTGGGGGACATTACTGTATACCCTCTAGGATTCCGGAATAATGTGATTAGAGGTTGGAATATATGTATTATTTTCAATTAACTTACATATATCGAGAAGCTAGTTGAAGGAGACAAATTTTGGGTGGAGAGAGAACAGAGGATCCCTCTCTGGCCGATGCAGAGTTAAGTTGACATTGCTTCATGAATGGTTGATGCAAAGAAAAGTTTCTCAACTATTTCAATTTTTGTAGGAAATGTATCTCTTTGCTTATCAATTTTATAATCTAAATGAAGAACCAACTTAAGCTTTGTCTGCTTAGGATTGATGGCTTTCAAACAAACAGTTTCATTATTGCTAATCCTTAAACCCTCTGATTTTACTGAAACAAAAATCAGAAAACCGCCGCACAGAGTTGAAAGAGTTTCTTTATCTTCTTGATTTGTAATATGACTGACTGGAGAGAGTTTAAAAAGTTTGCTTAATTTTGAAGTGGTTTTATATATGAGGGCAGTGTTATCTCTTAAACTTTGTGAGGACTATTGTTTGCAAGAGCGGTTTTTAGATTACGGCCAATTAACTATCATTAATGAACTTAATAAATATTTACAAATGAAAGGGCTTTAGTTCATGATGAATAGGGAATATATATTTATGTATAATGTATATTCATTTACAAAAAATTGTGATACAAAATGAACCTGTATTTATGAGAATGTATTTAAGAAATATACTTAAAGGTTCACTGGTTTATTATAAAAATATTCAATCCCTCAAATATAATTGAGCGATAATAATCATCTCTTGCTTAATAGACATTGAATATATAAAATGAGTAAAACTGTAACGTTAAAAATAAGAATAGGACTGTTATCTATCATAAATTTTCAATTACCTTACTTGGGTTCTTTTGACATCAAAATTCTTGATTTCTCTTCATATATATCTTTCCATAGTTGTAGACGATCAATTTAAGTTATCATTGCTTCATGAACGGTTCTACAGCTTCATCCAAATTCCATTCCATTCGCCTTGCACCCAAAGTAAAGCAATAAGTTGGATCTTCACTCTTTAGATTCTAGTTCATGGCTTGTTTTGTTGCTTGGGACCTATCCAAATGAGATGCCATTCTTTTCTTTCCACCAGGAAAAGCCATCGACAATTTCTCAACCATCCACATCCTGACCAAGGTAATATAAGTGTTAAAGTTGTGTGTTTTCCAAGAAACATACTGCTATACTTTTCCACAAAAATGCATACTTTTCAGAACCCCTCTAGTATTTAGAAACTAGTGTTTGATCAATGATTTTCATATCTCAAAAAATGGAAGAGGTGAAAGTTATTGGAGCTTCGCCGAGCCTATTCTGTGTTAGAATTGAATGGGCTTTAATGCTCAAGGGTATAACATATGAGTATATAGAAGAAAACTTGAAAAGGAAGAGTAACCTGCTTCTCCAATCTAATCCTGTTCCCAAGAAGTTTTCCGGTGTTCTATCTGCCCAATGGAAAACCAATCTGATACGTTAAAAAGACCAGAGATGCTTACAGCAGCCGTCAACCTCTGCACGCTTGTATAGAAAGTAGCGACCACCCTTTATTCTTTCTACAAGATATACAGATAACACGAAGACATTTTAAACAAATTAGAGAAAACTCTAAGCCACTATATAATCACATAAAGAAAGCATGCAAGTATACAACTTCGCTTGAGATCAACATCCAAGTTCTGCCAGAGACTCTGTAACCCCAAGTGTCTCCAAAAACCCATATCTGCGCAAAATTTTTTTGTTAGTAGTTTCACTTATTTGTCTGCTATCGTATAAATCAGTGGAAGATGATAGTATCCATTGGTACTGGTATGCTTGGATGATGGTTAACAGAGAGAGGTTCAATTTGATGGGAGATTTACTTTTAAAGTTCAATTTTGGTGCTATTGAGATGAAAGTCTTTTGATTGAAAATGCAGCTAGAGAACTATTGAAATTGAAAATCACTGAAGTACAAGGCGAAGGAAATCGAAAACCATATTTTCAAATTTGTTAGCGTACAGAAAAATTACCTTGAGATACTCTCTGTTTGGGCCTGACAAGTCTTCTTTTTTGGGTTCCAGAGCATTTCTTTTAGAGGATGAACTTGGCGAACTTTATATATTCTGGTTTCATACCACGGAGATAAAAAAATAATATTTTAGGATGGAACAGTCATTAAGCAGATAGAACTTTGGAGAGTTGGAAGCTTTTGTGGTTTAAAGGCATACAAAACTTAGGCAGTTCATAGACCTAAGGTAGTCAAAAGAGTTCGCTTTTCTTTCATTTTAGCTGACCAAAATGGCGTGTTGGTTTCCTTGTATTAAAGAAAGATTTTTATTTGTTTGTGAGTGTTTCCTCATATCAATTTGCCAAATGAACCTAATTTATTCCCAGTGTTTTGGAGATATGTACCCTAATGCACAGATGATGAGATTGTTCTAGCTACTCTTAGGTTGTCTATTCCTTATGTGACATTAAGTCTCTTATTATTGTATTCATTGGAGTTAGCTGGTGCGCACAGTTAAAAACTTCATACAATTTTAAAACTTTATTTGTTGCCAAACCATATTCATGCTATCATCTGGTGGCAATTTGCTTCCATCAGCTTCCGACCTTTTTCTCTTTTGTGAGAATCTGATGATGTTGGTTGACATGTGGTCGTTGAACAAACAGCCTTAAGGAGTTGTAAGGAGAAGAGTTTGTACCCAAGATGGAGCCTGCATCCTATCAGTAGGGTATGATTTAGAACAGTAGTCCCTCCCTTCTCTCTTGTCTGTGTTTATTTTCAAAACTTGTTCTTTAGAAGCCAATTTCCGTACTTGAACACTCAAATTTTGGATCTTTCAGTTCTTTTAGCAGCTTTTTTTCTCTTAGTGCAGTAAAATTCACTCCCTCCTTTTCTTTCCAAGCCATTTTCTTGACTGCAACTGTCTGTCCTGTCTGCAAACACCAAACACAGTTTTTTTTTTTTCAAAAACCCTTAAAGTTTTCATCAAGATAAAAGGATTTATTGAACAATTGGCACTAAAGTTGTAAAATCAAAGTCATAGATATCATTTATATAGGTTACTTAAGATTAATCAGTGATTTTACATATGATTGGTTAAGTTTACTGGCTAAATCTTATTGGAAAATAAGAGAAAGAGCAATACTATTATTTATTTCAAATTAAAATCCAGATTGTAGTCCAATTACCATTACAGTTTCTTCTGTGATGGAATCATAGCATTCAACAATTAACAGATAGTAATATCCTTTAATCGTCTGTTTATTTCTAGTTTATTTTATTTTTTTCTAATAAACAAACTACATTTCATTAAATACACCACAATATTTCAAATACAGTGGTAACAAGCAGTCCCCTAAATCGAGTCATATCAAATAAACAGACAAACAACAAGGACTGCAGCTTCCGATTCAGAGTGAATGAAGAAAAAGGAATACCTCTGAACTCAAACCAGGACCATAGTGAAGCCAAAAGAATGAACTATATCCCACAATACTTCAACCAATTACAATACAACTGAATTCTCTTCAACCAAGATGCTGAGCCCTAAACCAGCCCAACATCTAGGGCACCAAACCAACTATCATCTACCTAAATATGCTTTTCTCCACCACCATGCCCTTCCCATAAAAGCTTCCTCGTTAGTTTTCAATCTTTTTTGGCACTTATAACAAGAATATTCTAAAAGAGAACGAAAAGTAGGTAAAATTGGCAATACTGCTGGCACCCATTAGAAGATATTTTAGGGAAAGGGAAAAAGATATATAAATTGAAAAAAGAAAAAGGCCTTTCAATTATCTAATCTTTTCTCTACCCTTTCAACCACCTACTCCCCAAACACTCAAGTCTCTATACTATGTTAAAACATTCAACAGTTCTTCCAAAATTCAAATAATTCACTCAGAAAGAGGCAATTAAATTCTTGATTATGATACTTAGATTAATCAATTGAACAGAGCCTTCACACTCAAATAAGCGTCATTAAGAGAACTCCTTTCCCATGACAAAGGCAACAAAAGAAATAACAAAACACAGTTGAGTTGCTTAATTTTCTGAATATAACATTCTAAACAATAAATTCAACCGTTATAGATTTTCCCTTATAATCCTTTCTTATAAACCGAAACGAAGAAACGTATAGTATCCTATTTACATTTCT